GTTCTAGGGGATCACCAGCCCCTGGGGAGCCTCCTGTCACCCCCCAGAAGCTCCTTCCTGGGCAAGGTCCCAGGCCCTGAGAGACTCCCTGGCTGCTCCAGGCCGGCCAGGCCCAGGGTCTCCAGCAGGGCTCTTGGTGCTGGCACCGCGCTCGCTGCCAGAGCTCCCAGCCCTGACCCAGCCCGGCCTGTTGTCCCAGCGCTGACCCCTCCCCTGCGGTGGGGACCCTGCTGCTCTCAATGGCTGAGCCCCTCTCTCTGCCGCTGCCTCTGCTGCTGCACTCACAAGCTCAGCACATGCCACAGCCAATGCGGCGCTGCTGGGGCTGCTCCTTCCCTCGGCACCTGGAGTCTCTGTGTCTGGGGCAAATGGTGGGTGAGTGGCAGGGACCTGCTGAAAGACACACGCCCTGTGCTGCACCCAGAGGGCAGAGACCAGCCAGGGCCAGGCAGCAAATTGCCACCACGCTGGGATTAACCCTTTCCTTTCACCACCCCAGCAGCCCCGGCCTATCAGTGCCACTCGACTGCCTGTGCTCTGACCCCAGGGACCCGGGTCGGCACCTCGGGGGAGTCACTGGGTGAATGTGTGGGGCAGAGTAACCAGGGCTCCCTATGCCCGAGGGTCCCCATGTGCAATGGGGGAGACCCCACGCTGTCATGCAGCTCTTAGGGCGGGGTGGGCAAACTATGTCCCGTGGGCACTTCCTGTCTGGCCTGCCTGAGCTCTCGGCTGGGAAGGCTCCTCCCGGCCACGTTACCACCTTCCCCACTCCACCGGAGCCTCAGCACGCTGCGCGGGCACCACGCTGGGGGATGGCAGGTTCCCACTCTGTGTATCAGCTTGCACCAGACACGCTGCTCGGAGCGGCATGGTAAGGAGGCCTGGCCAAGGGGTTGGATAAGGGGCAGGGGGCTCAGGGGACAGGGAAGAGGGGATTGGATAAGCGTGGGAGCCCTGGGGGGCCTGTCAGGGGATGGGGGTGTGGATAGGGTTCAGGGCAGTCAGGGGACAGGGAGCAGTGGGGGTTGGATGGGGGTTGGGGTCCTGAGGGGTCATTAGGGTCGGGAGGGGGCGGTCAGGGGACAAGGAATGAGGGGGGGAGTTGGATGGGTCAGGGATTCTGAGGGGGGCAGTCCG